GGAAAAGTTAAGCAAAACAACGGCCGTAGAACGACCTTTCTTTAAACCATGTTGTCGACTAGATAGTAAATGATGAATATAGATAAACAATATAATTTGCTGAGAGATTAATGTCTCAACAGATAACGAGACCAGCACACACACTCAGGAAAAGGCAGCTCCTGAAATCGGAAAAAGATTTATTAGTAGATAAAATATTCTACCTTTCAACTGAGCCTCAGATCAGCATAATCACTTTAGCATCGTATAAAAGCTGGAAAACATCTGAGGAATCAGGAGAAGAAGGCATAGAGAGCAAAGTACTTAACCTATGTGAGACCACTACTAGAGTGTGCAGCTCTTACATGGAGAGACAATTTAAAAATAATCAGGCTAAAATTCGAGGAGGATTAGATATATGGGATAAGATTGGTTCCAGAACTGTGTGGACTGGAGTATAGCGATAGACTAAAAAAAACTGCGTCTTACTACATTAGGTATATGGCGAGAAAGGGAAACATGATTACGACGTATAAAATACTGAAAAGTATCGACAAAGTAGATAACGATGAAAGGCTTAGCAAATGAAACAGCAGAACAAGAGGCCATGGATGAAAGTTAGACACAGAAGAGTCTTAGAAATTCTGAAGAAACATGTATTAAGCCTAAGAGTACTAAACAAATGAAATGAACTAGAGGAAATAGATCCATGCTAATACCATACTGTACATTGATTTCAAATTGCCGATAAAAGATAATTCATTTTTCGCGAGTCATTGCATTAGACGACCAACAGCTATTAAGGAGGTGGGATGGAGCCCATGAGCAGACATTCGACCCTGCAAGTACATGGAGGTGAGTGCATCTAGACAGGTACACTCACTCGAGAGTTCTTTGTTCCCTCAACACTCACTCACCACGCCGGAAGTCCCAAGACAGCCATTGGACACACTCTGGGTATATTCACTCCCACATTTTATTGCAGTTTTCTGTGAGTCACAGAGACAATTGTCTGGTCGAAATGCCTCAGAGGCACGTATTGAACCAGCGATCGCTAGTGAGGTGGTTTCAGTACTGTGTACGCCAGGGGGTTGATCTCTGGTTATACAGGTTCGAAAACCCTGGTCGGATCATAGAGTTCTAAGGGATTTATGGCTTAGGGACCATTCAAGCACTCTTTCATATTTATAAACTTCTAAACGTACACAGTACCGTGACGATCAATGGTGCAGTGGTCACGGTACAGTGTATGTTTAGGGGTGATCCTGGACGTCATTGGTTCGAATCCTAATCGGGTCAAAAATGAGTTCTTATATATATATATATATATATATATATATATATATATATATATATATATATATATATATATATATATATATATATATATATATATATATATATATATATATATTATATTATATTATATTCGCAATTTTGCAAAACATTGGTTGGTACCTTAAGTATTCCTTTTGTTTTGGAAATTTTAATAATGAATAAAAGTTTATACAAGACGAAAAAGACCATTTATGAAAGCGGGTTCTCTTGATATTACATTTCCGGCTATTAGTAAAAATTATATAAATGGGAAACGTAAATAGACATCCGGATTCACTATTCGGATGCCTAGTCGGGTCAAAAATGAGTTCTTAGAGATGGTGAGTAGGAACAGAAGGAGGATCACACATGCACTCACCTCGTGAATACCTGTGACTCATTTGGTAGTTGTCTGGGCGTGACTCACGTGATGAATACTCGTGACTCATTTACTAGTTATCTAGGCGTGACTCACCTGATGAATACTCGTGACTCATTCCGTTGTTGTGTTCAATGGAAGGTTCCGTGTTAATCCGTGTCACCCTTCCAGTTCCTCTTCTTTCTCTCTCTTAATCTTATTCCCTTTCATCCCCTTCATTCCTACCTTCCCTTCCTCATTCTCCCAACCCCTCCCCGCCCAAGGCAGGGATGTAAACACGGGTGTAAGCGGGGCGGCAGTTCCAGCCTGCCGGTGCAGCATGGGCCGGTCAACACGGCCCAACTTCCAGAGGGACCGGAGAGTGTAGCCGGTAGCGCCCCCTACCGCCCTGGATGTGTGGCCGGTAGCGCCCCCTACCGCCCTGGATGTGTGGCCGGTAGCGCCCCCTACCGCCCTGGATGTGTGGCCGGTAGCGCCCCCTACCGCCCTGGATGTGTGGCCGGTAGCGCCCCCTACCGCCCTGGATGTGTGGCCGGTAGCGCCCCCTACCGCCCTGGATGTGTGGCCGGTAGCGCCCCCTACCGCCCTGGATGTGTGGCCAGTAGCGCCCCCTACCGCCCTGGATGTGTGGCCGGTAGCGCCCCCTACCGCCCTGGATGTGTGGCCGGTAGCGCCCCCTACCGCCCTGGATGTGTGGCCGGGACGACAGCAAGAGTCGGGTGTTCGGAGCACAGCTGGTAGCCGTGTGCAGCAGGGAGTGATGACCAGATGATATGGTGTGCTCTTCTGTGTGTCCTCTCTTTCTCTCTCTCTCTCTCTCTCTCTCTCTCTCTCTCTCTCTCTCTCTCTCTCTCTCTCTCTCTCTCTCTCTCTCTCTCTCTCTCTCTCTCTCTCTCTCTCTCTCTCTCTCTCTCTCTCTCTCTCTCTCTCTCTCTCTCTCTCTCTCTCTCTCTCTCTCTCTCTCTCTCTCTCTCTCTCTCTCTCTCTCTCTCTCTCTCTCTGTCTTTCTCACCACTACCAACACCAAGGGGCACCGCCAGCTGACTGTTTCTACACCTTGTGGTCACAACGGTCAATTACCGAGTACCTGCCCAACCGATTCTTCCTGTCCGTCTCACAGTTTCCTCTGCAACGGAGTATTTTCCACTAGTGGGCCTGGCTCCATGACAGTAATTTACATTGCATTTGTCTCCCCCCCAATTACAGTTTCTTTCAATACCCTGGAGGCATCGTTTTCTTTAATGATCGCTGCACTTTTTTTCTCATTTCCTGAGAGATTCATTGCGCATTTGCTTTCTTTACATATCCTTTCGTCATTCTTTCCTCTTTTCTTCTATTGCACAATATCCTTCCATCTTTTGATGATGTTTCCTCCATAAAAAAATATTCACAAAATATTAAAAAGATAATAGTAGTAATGATGATAATTAAAGTTTAAATTGAATTAAATTATTTCGAAAGATGACCTTTATTATGGGGCATAACATCCCACGCCACAACTACCAAATTAATAACATAACCTTGCAGCAGACTGATTAAGAAAAGGACCATGGAGTCAAAATCCATCATTACTGAATGTTGCACAAGAGGTGGAAGCAGCAGTAGAAATACCTAACCAAACCCTAAGAATAACCAATCGTTATATCTACGGGCTCACCATAGCCCGTGCTACTTGGAACTTTGTTCCAGGTAGAAAATCTTTAACAACAACAACCAATCGTTCATTTGACATTAAGGAAAAGAAAGTAGTTCTTCAAGTGTATAGATCTCCGGTGCGCCTCCACTTGGGTCATTGTATCCCAGCATGGAGATCTCATCGTCAGAATGCAGGCGATGAGTCACAATAACGTGGCTAAAGTAAGTTGACCAGACCACACACTAGAAGGTGAAGGGACGACGACGTTTCGGTCCGTCCTGGACCATTCTCAAGTCGATTGTGATGAGGAAGTAGATGCAGGCAATAAAGCCTGCAAATCAATTCATCGTCTGAAGATCATATAGCTGTTTTGGAGAATGTGCAATACCGGACAACAAAAATCATTCCAGAACTAAGTCTACCTTTATAACTGGAATGGTTGAGGGGCTTCACGGCTGACAACACTTCAAACCAGACACGACAAGGCTGATCTCATTGAAACTTTTAAAATACTGAACAATTTAGAGGATGTTGATCCTGACAATGCCTTCAAAAGATCAGATGTAACACAAACAAGGAGCAACGGGTTCAAGCTCAACAAGCCATAATGTAGGACTGAAAACGTTTTCAGACTGATGCTCTTTCATCCACAGAGTTATAAACTAATGGAACCGCCTACCCGTCAATGTCGTAACTACCAAAACTGTTGAATTTTAAAATCCAGCTAGCAAAAAATAATCAGGACAAAAGGGAGTGGGGGGACCTTTTGACAAGCCGTCGGCTTCCTGTCCTCGTCGAGGCTACTGGAGTGTTAGTGGCCCTCGTGTAAATTCAGGTAAATATAGTAGTAGTAGTAGGCATCCATCAGTCTCAGGAGACTATGGAGTTGCGCTCTGGTTGTCGGTCTGGAGTGGCCTCACCAGGGCGCAAAGCCAGGGTAGGTTGATTCGGGGGAGAAGCTGTTACCCAGGCAGCAGGTCACCCCCCCTCTCCACGGCGCTGAAAGACCAAACACCAAAATATCCATATCCACAAAAGAACTTACAAAAGTAGCCGAGGCGACCACTGACCAGCCCCAGTATAAAACTGCAGACTATGGTAAATCAAGAGAAACAAATTAAGATCAATGATATTTCGAAAAACCTCGTGAGACAAGTGTAAAACAGGACTGTTTTGACGGAAAGGACACAAGATACAAATTATAAGGTGTGTTGGGTGGGCAGTAGAGCTTGGTGGGACATAATAATAGAGCAGAGGAACTAGTGACTCTATACCCCCACTTCCGATCGCTCTGTAACTCTATAGTGCTGTAGTTGAGGTAAGAACGATCTTCTTCACTATATGTAATCGATTTTCCTCACCTCTTTTCTTCGTACATTTCAGCCCGTATTGTGCTGTCATTGTGACCTTTCATTTATATGACTGGGGGCATAGATCACCTAATTCCTCCATGTTGGAATGTCAGGGAAGGCTTAAAGTTCCAGTTGGATAGCAGTTAGGCGCTTCTGGAGTCCTTCCTTATTCTGTCTGCTCCGTAGCATGGGTGATAGAGCTACCATCTCCAGCTCTTGTCGGGGTCGGTGGTTCGAGACTCCTAGGGGTCCAGGTGAATATAAATATATATATAAGCCTTTCCCCCACTCTCCTTCTGGGCCCACGACGTCCTCTCACAAGCTGTACTGTCCGCAGGGGTGGACAGGTTCCGTCAGTCGCCGTGCCCCGTGGCGGGAGAATACACGGGCGTCATCCCGGACGCCCCCTTGCTGTGCGCCAAACTCTACTCCGACTGTAACAACCCAGAGATCATGTTCTACACCGTCTACTCCTGCAGCAACCGCTCCGAGGTCATGGAAGGTCAGTCTGCTTACAATGTTTGTTTAGATAATTGTGGCTTTGGGGGAGTGTTTGTGAGGGAGATAAAGCTATGTGACAACCTAGACGAAAAGCATTGCGATCAAGATGGACAACTAACCTCTACTTCGGTGTCCGCAGAGCGAGAGTACCGGTGCCTGGGCCAGTGGAGCGAGACAGGCGTGACCTACACTTACACCGAGCGACGGGATCAGGCTAACTACGAGTGCTTCGCCGGCGTGGTGGTCGACGACGGGGAGATCTACATCATGGAGGCCGGCGTCAACTGTCAGCGAGGGCTGGAGGTGCTCTCGTGCGGCATGAAGCTGGTCAAGCAAGGTCAGCACAGCTCTGCACGTGGGCCAGGTTGTGCATGAGAAAGACTAGTACAGTGGTAGCTTAGCGGAGGGATGGGGGGAGGTAAGTGTCAGGGGGAAAGCGCCAAGTTATTACGACTATGTAGCATTTGGAAGGGGGGTCAGGATAAGGATTTGGGATGGGACGGGTGGGAAGGAATGGTCCCCAATCACTTGGATGGTCGGGGATTGAACGCCGACCTGCATGAAGCGAGACCGTTGCTCTACCGTCCAGCCCAAGTGAGAGGATGGGGGCGGGGAGGGGAGGAGATAATTAGTAAGTGCTCTGAAGATTATAATCCATAAGTCAAGGTCATGAAACCGCAGGGGATGGTCCACAAGGGCATTTTAGTTAGTTTAATTAGTATATTATGGACCTTATTCTAATCCTTTTTTTGCGAATTGGTTGATTACAGTTTCATTTGCATATACAGCACATCCAGCCATTGGTAATGAATGAAAGGTTACAGTCACACGCATACACTTCCAACAGTAATGGAAGAGTTGGAAGCTTGGCTAGGATTTTTACTAATACCTCATTTCGATGAGAGTTTTGAGAGATATTGCTTTCAAGTCGGCTGATGTCAAGTTTTAGCTGTTCCAATATCTGATCTAAGCTCTTAGCTGGTCTGCTGTCATCTGGGAGACAGTTCAATGTGTATTTAGATCACCCCTTCACTTTGAACACAGATCAATGTTTAGCAGCATTTAAAACCTTTATAGTAGAAAGAACATTTATGAAATATTTAAAATTAGTGAAATATTTAAAGCTATTAAACAGATCCCTTAACAACAAACAGACGAGTTATTGTATCAATAAATACGTCAACATTTTCAACGTCAACCCACATGGCGCTTGTTCCTCCTTTTGTAACCTCTCTAGTTCCAAGAGTGTGTGTGTGTGGTGGTAAAGACGTGACGCCCTCTTGCTCACGCTTCGTATACTGACACCTCATGACCTTGCCATGACCTCGTCTCCGTCTCTTCCCTTCCCCTTCCCTCCCAGCTCCGTGTCTCAACGACCCAGTGATCGCCCCTCGCCCCTACCAGCCGTCGCCGACGCAGCCACCGTGGTGGAACGCCACTCGTAACCCTTGGACCAAGAAATCCTCCCCCACGACGCCCAAACCGGGCCTCAAGAACACCTCCAAGGGACACGCAGCGTCCTCCACCAACCTTTCCACCCGCCACTTCATCCTGGGAACGGCCCTGGCACTGGCTGTGTGCCTACACCAGTGGTGGGGGGTGTAGTAGGTGTACCAGTTGTGTAAGGATACTGTGTGAGTGTACCACTGGTGGCCACATCCGTTCCAAAGACGCTTCACAAAAGGTTGTGGGTTTGGGGTTCTCACGCGTTGTAGCTTTATTATAAAGTGTACGTATATATAAATATATATATTTACACTTAAAATGCACCAAATATTAACCTATGTGTATTTATTAGGTATTATATTTTGTATATATGTTCAAGGCATATGGGGAAGGACTCACCTGTACCTCGGCCACATTTCAGGGGCCAGCAATGCTATATGTCTATAACGGCCACCTGGTGCTATAGCCACCTCCCGGCGCCTATATAGTTGTCACCTGGTCCCCATAGCTACCGCCTGGGCCTATATTCATCTGGCGCCTATAGCTATCACCTGTTGTCTAAGTTCTTAACTTGGAATGCTGTGGCCCAGGTATACGTAAAGGTCCTTCCATGTGTTCATGTTGTTGCAATTATATATATATATATATATATATATATATATATATATATATATATATATATATATATATATATATATATATATATATATATATATATGACAATGTCAGACCACGGAGGAAAAATGAAACAGGAAATTTCCTTAAGTTCTTTCGTATATTAAATACATCTTCAGAAGGTCAATTTTCCTTTTTTCCTCCGTGGTCTGACATTGTCACATTCTTAATCACGTGTTTATTTTCGTGATATACACACACATATATATATATATATATATATATATATATATATATATATATATATATATATATATATATATATATATATATATATATGATATGTGTGTGTGTATGACTGAAGTTATCATATTGACTTCGTAAATGTCAAGCTTCACTGATCTCGGTGGTTCTTAAGAGCATATAATTGATTTACTAGTAAGACGCCACTCTAGTCTGGCAACGATGGATCACAAGGAAGTGAAATGTTGGTTTATGTTTCATTTTCGTTGTTATTACGAGTTATTTGAAATATGTTTTTCTTCCTTGTTCGCTGCTCAATTAAATGATTAAATGTAGAGCAAAAGTTGACCCTTTGATATTGCACTGATCTCCTGTCTTGGCTCTTTTTCCATTCACCTGCCATCTCAATCTTATTTTCCTTCTTCATGTCATCCTTCACTAGCCCCATATATGTCAATTCCCCCTTCTCCCACCCCATCATCCACAAACACATCCAACCTCTCAGTCTCCTATTCCATACCACCAGTCCTCAATTAACCCCTACCCCTCACATCTAACCCTTTGCCCTTCACCTTTCCTCTCATCTTCTATCCCCCCTCTCTCCTATCCCTCACCCCCCCACCCACAGGATTCTACGTTACAAGTAACCTCTCTGTTGACTCCGGGTAACATTCTTTTGAGAGGCAGACATCACCCACGAGAAAAGTCCTCACAAGGGTCATCTGAAAACGAAACGGACGAGGGGAAAGAAATTCAGTGAGATACCTTCTACCTCCCCTTCTCCAACGCTCCTTCGAGAAGAGGAAATCCTTCAATGAGACTCTCTTCTGGGTTTTTTCGACCTTGGGTTCACAGGAGCTGAAGATCCTATTATGGGAAATCCTCATTTACTTCAATTCTTTCATCTCTTTCTCGTTTTCACCACCTTTCCCCTCACTATACTCCTTTTCCCTTGCTTCCCTTCCTTGTACAGTTTCTTTTCTCCTCTTTCCTCACCCCTGGACAGTCAGGACAAACAGGCTTGTTGGTGTGACTGTTATAGTCAGAGAGATTTACCATATGTGTGTGTGTGTGTGTGTGTGTGTGTGTGTGTGTGTGTGTGTGTGTGTGTGTGTGTGTGTGTGTGTGTGTGTGTGTGTGTGTGTGCTGGAGAACACGTGACTGTTCAGCTTTAATCAACCCAGAACACAAAAGTAGTCCTTAATCTCATTTGCAAATTTAGGCAAACGCAGACAGGTACTAAACCCAATTTAATGGTATATTACCTGTGTGTACAACCAAAAAAGTTGACCTAATATTCACCTAAGAGTAAGAACAGGATCTATCTCATCACAGTATTATACACGTACCATAACAGGGGTTAGAAAAGTATTACTTTTCTCAGAGAAATTTAATTCAGTATATACTAACTTTTAAGCCAGAGAGATTTAAAAGACATAGAAATTAAACACTTTTAAACTGTAGTTTTTTTAATGATGTACAAACGGACTTTTTGTATTATTTTATTTTACACATGTGAAAATGTCTTGGGTTAGCGAAGTGCTGTGCTTATCCTCAGCGAAGTGCTGTGCTTATCCTCAGCGAAGTGCTGTGCTTATCCTCAGCGAAGTGCTGTGCTTATCCTCAGCGAAGTGCTGTGCTTATCCTCAGCGAAGTGCTGTGCTTATCCTCAGCGAAGTGCTGTGCTTATCCTCAGCGAAGTGCTGTGCTTATCCTCAGCGAAGTGCTGTGCTTATCCTCAGCGAAGTGCTGTGCTTATCCTCAGCGAAGTGCTGTGCTTATCCTCAGCGAAGTGCTGTGCTTATCCTCAGCGAAGTGCTGTGCTTATCCTTAGCTAGCGAAGTGCTGCCCTTATCCTCACTTAGCAAACAAGGTATCTTATTGGAAGGTGAAAAAATATGTATTTTTTTGCTAGATATTATTAGAGTAATTAAAAATGTTAATATGGATTAGCATGATAGTTAACGAGAACGAAACGGAACGAGAACATGATTTTGAAATATAACATCCAGACAGAGAGGAATTTATCGGGCTTATCATCGATATGTTGTTGCCGGGGAAGAACGGACAGGTTTGTCAGACTTGACTCTCGTCACAGGAGAAATGGAGTAACGAGAACTACATTGATTAAAGTTGGGAAGGGTTCGTCAGCGTAAATTTATGTGCGCGCATGCGTACGTGTCTGTTCAAGTTCAAGTATGTTTATTGAGATCAGAAATAAATACATCTCAAAGAGATAGAGTAGCTTAGTCTGATAATACTGCTAATACTTGTTGCTATTTTCATTTGTTTTTGTGTATTGATGAATGTTCCGCTGTTCCTGCAATGTTGATGACTCTAGGGAGGCGATGAGTCACAATAACGTGGCTGAAGTATGTTGACCAGACCACACACTAGAAGTTGAAGTGACGATTACGTTTCGGTCCGTCCTGGACCATTCTCAAGTCGATTGAGAATGGTCCAGGACGGACCGAAACGTCGTCGTCCCTTCAATTTCTAGTGTGTGGTCTGGTCAACGACTCTAGGGAGCATTGATGGGGGTCACTTGGCTGTTGTGAAGGGCCCCTGGCCGCCTCCGTGACTCTGGCTTTTGAGAAAGGGTAATTATTACCCTCCTTGGTCGTACGGTCGTTTGACTGTACGACCTAGACCTAGAACGCGTTTAATTAATTTTGCAGTTTCATCTGTGGTCAATAAATCCGTTTTTGTTTTGTTTCCAGCTACGTAATTTTAATAATAATTTGCTGATAACTCACACGAGAGTAAAAGAAAATGGAATTTAAATTTGGGGTGACTATACATATTGTGTAGTTATCCCCCAAATTTACCATCCCTTCTTTCTTTCTTTGTTATTTCTGGTTACTGCTCTCGATTCGAAATGTATTTTCAATACATGATAAAATTATCATGGACGGCCCACGGTAAAGACACTTTCATTATTTGTTTCAATTTGCATGTTTACGCGTAAAATCACAGGTATGATCGATGCTGAAGTCATTGACTTGAGATTGATTTATATATGAATATATTGATAAACACGTCAGTATATGTTTCATGGTCACTATGTTGTTGTTATAGATTCAGCTACTCGGAACAAGTTCCAAGTAGCACGGGCTATGGCGAGCCCGTAGAGGACTTACCTGGCATAAGACGGACGTGGCCACTCATTTACTGAAAGGCAGTAGCGCAAATAATCAATGTAGAATGAGGAGGGTGACAGGTTCTTCTCCTTATGCAAATGAGTATTTTCTGGTGCCCACTACCGCGACCACAGGATGAGTATGGGGTGCATATGAATTAACTAACCTATTACAATTATTTTGTAATAGTTTAGTTCATACAGCCCCCTAAGTTGTAACACATTGTCCAGTACATCTCTTAAGATGTATCGCACTGGTGAATACAGCCTCTAAGATGTGTAACACAGGTCATTACAGTCTTCCAGATGTATCATACTGGTGAATACAGCCTTTAAGATGCATCGCACTTATCAATACAGTACATGTTATGCCTAAATATACCCTTGCCCACGTTTGTGAAGACTATCCAGTGTGCTTGTTATATTTTGAGGTTGTTGTGGGGGCGTTCCAATATTTCACGTGTATTAGGATCTTCACGGATATGTTTATCTAGTAGACTATACTAGAGGCCTTTGAGTGTGCGATTATGTTGGTGTATATAGTGTGTATATATTTGTAAATAATTTTATAATAATTTAATAATAAAGAGCTTCGCTTTTATAATTGTTTTATTTTTGTATTTCCACAAAGAATTATGTTACTCTTCTGTTGTTCAGTCATGTCTGTATACAAAGTCCTATGAAACAAAGACTCAAAGTCCATTCCATGCACCCGCCAAACCCCCTGTTTATGAATGAGAAACGGTTTACACACGACTCACAACTGATTTCGTTTGAACAGTTCCGGAACAAGTGTTTCACTGACGAATTTTGTTCGAACCACAACGCTGTAAATGCTCAGCTCGTCCTCCAAACAAAGATCCAAAAGTGATTACATCCACCCGTCAAACCCCCTGTTTATGAATGAAAAGCGGTTTACACACGACTCACAACTGCTGACGTTCGAACATATCCGGAACAAGTGTTTCACTGACGAATTTTGTTCGAACCACAACGCTGTGAATGCTTCACCCACGTACTACAAATACAAATAATCGCCAACAGAACCTAAACACCTAATCTAACCTGTGCCAATTTATGCACAATATGCTAATATATTATATTAATTTATATATGAGAAAATTCCCGTTTTGAATGAACAGCATGTTAAAATTTATGAATGCGTCTGTGGGGTCGACCGCTGAATGTAATACACTTGAGTCGAGGACGGGTTGCCGGCTCACCAACGATAGGCTAGTTTAGAGTTTATTTATTTATTTATTTATATATACAAGAAGGTACATTGGGATTGTGAGGATACATAGCATAGTGATTACATTCTTGTAAAGCCACTAGTAAGCGCAGCGTTTCGGGCAGGTCCTTAATCTAACAGAAAATTTTAAGCAGGTAAATACTAGCAAAGTTTATAAAAATGATAACAGGTACATTGCAAGAAAAAAAAAAAAGATGAGAGAGATTTGTAGGTACAGTATATTAAAGCACATAGGTAGCTCAAATGGATTGCATTGGCAGCTTGAATGGTAATTTAACAAAAATTAATAGACACAGTACAGCATATTACTAGCACATATAAGAAGACAGCAATGATCGCAATGGTAAAGTTTTTTGGATTAAGTACATAAAGATTGGGAGTTTGGGTAACACTAGATACAGAGCAAATTTAAAGCACAGAGTAGGACACTATGAAGGTGAAATAAGGTACTTTTTGGTTTTGGTTTTAAATGAGGCAAAAGTTTGACAGCTTTTCAATTCATTAAGGAGTGAGTTCCATACACTAGGTCCCTTTATTTGCATAGTGTTTACACAGATTAAGTTTGACTCTGGGATATCAAAGAGATATTTATTTCTGGTGTGGTGATAATGGGTCCTATTACATCTGTCCAGGGAGAGTTTCAGAACAGTGTTTTGTAAATGTAGTTGACACAAGAGAATGTGTGGAGTGAGTTATGTTTAGCATGTTTAGGGATTTAAACAAGGGGGCTGAGTGTTGTCTGAAAGCAGAGTTTGTTATTATTCTGATAGCAGATTTTTGCTGGGTGATGATGGGCTTAAGGTGGTTTGCAGTGGTTGACCCCCATCCAGATACCATAATTAAGATAGGGATAGATTAGTGCATAATGTAGTGAGAGGAAAGCAGAGTTAGGAACATAATATCTGATTTTAGAGAGTATATCAACTGTTTTAGAGACTTAGTTATGTGTTGAATGTGGGTGCTGAAGTTGAGTCTCTTGTCTAGGAATAGGCCAAGAAACTTTCCATCATTTTTATTACTGATGTTAATATTGTCTATCTGTAGCTGCATTGCATTCGATGATTTGCTTCCAAATAAGATGTAGTAGGTCTTTTCTATGTTTAGTGTTAGTTTGTTAGTTGACATCCATAAGTGGACTTTTTTGAATTCATTATTCACAACATTATTTAGTGTATGTGGGTTGGGGTCTAAATAGATGAGGGTAATATCATTAACAAACAATATAGGTTTAAGAATATTAGATACATTAGGCAGATCATTGATTGATATATATATATATATATATATATATATATATATATATATATATATATATATAAGCCAAGTTTTCATGATATATATAGGTTAGGTAGGGTTGGTTAGGTTCGGTCATATATATATATATATATATATATTCAGGAAAACTATATATAATAGGCTGTATATATGTATATATATATATATATATATATATATATATATATATATATATATATATATATATATATATATATATATATATATAAGAAATAGGAGAGGTCCCAAGATGCTGCCCTGTGGCACTCCAACGATTATTGGTAGAATGGGAGAGGTTATATCATTGATGGCTACACATTGGTGTATGTCACTAAGATAGGATCGGGTATAGCCCAGGGTAAGGCTTCGGATTCCATAATGCTGGAGTTTAAGTAAGAGGTAGTTGTGATTAACAGTATCAAAGGCCTTTCTCAGGTCAATGAAGAGTCCAATCGGAAACTCATTTTTGTCAAGGGCTGAGTAGATTACATCAAGGAGACTAATAATTGCATCATTGGTACTCTTTTGGGACTGGAAGCCAAACTGACCGGGGCTGAGTATGTCGAATTTTACGAGGTAGGAATAGAGCTGTTTGTAGATAATTTTTTGCAAATATTTTTGATAGAATGGGTAGATTTGATATTGGTCTATAATTGTTTATGTCTGCCGGATTTCCTCCTTTATGAACTGGCGTTACTCTTGCTTTTTTAAGGATATCAGGGAAGGTATGACACTCAAGGGATTTGTTAAACAGTGGAGCTATGGGTGGCGCAAGGGCGTGGGAGGCGCTCTTGTATACAATGGATGGAATTTCACTGATGTTCCCTGCCTTGGTTTTTAGTGAGTGTATGATGGACACAACATCTGTCGGGCTGACTGGTGAAAGGAGAAGAGAGTTTGGATAGCTGCCTGAGAGATATGTGTTGATATGTGTCTGAGTCTGTGGGATTTTTTTGGCAAGGTTAGCACCAACCGATGAAAAGAAGCTATTAAATTCATTTGCCATTTTTAATTCAGTTGCCAGTGTATTGGCATCCTTATAGAGTTTTATTTGGTTATGTGGGTGTTGTTTAGTTCCTAGGATACTAGAGATGGATTTCCAAGTGCTTTTCATGTTGCCTTTTGCTTCATTGAATCTATTCTCATAATATGAAAGTTTTGCCTTTCTTGTGATACTGGTAAGCATTGATGAGTACCTTTTAACTACTTCCTTTGTAACTAGGCCAATCCTAGGTTTCTTGTTGATTGATTTGAATATGCCACTTGTGAGCCATGGATTGTTTATTCTTTAGTCAGTTACTTGCTCGTTAAGGAAGGGTTAATGAGTGTTGTAGAGGCTTAGAGTTTTGGAGAGGAAGAGGTTAACTAATGAATTTATATCCTGAGTATTATTGAATTCAGTGATTCAGTTCTTAGTGATCTATGGCTATATGATTTATTTATTTATTTATTTATTTATTTATTTATTTATTTATATACTATAATAATCTCTAAGTAAGTATTACTTGTGGTGAGCTAGCTGCATAGAATTTTTATTTGTTTATCTGGGGCCAGATTCACGAAAACACTTACGCAAGCACTTACGAACGTGTACATCTTTCCTCAATCTTTGACGACTTTGGTTACATTTATTAAACAGTTTACAAGCATGAAAACGTCCCATTCAACTGTTGTTATTATTATAAACAGCCTCCTGGTGTTTCGGAGCTCATTAACTGTTTAATAATTGTAAACAAAGCCTTCAAAGACTGAGAAAAGATGTACAGGTTCGTAAGTAGTTACGTAAGTGCTTTGGTGAATCTGGCCCCAGGCCACGCCCATATAGTGGGCGGTGGTGGAAAGTTTAGCCACATACACTCACGGGGTCTGGTCGTTTAGGACACGAGACGATTCGAGGAAGCTCGTTTTCTGTTCGTTAAAACTGTATATGTTGCTATGTTTATCTGTATTAGCTTAGGTTAGGCTGTATTAGGCTAGTTGGGATGGTTTGGTTTGGGTTAGGTTTGGTGGGGTTGAGCTAGGTTTGGTTAAGTAGTTTACGCGTATCATAGTATATACTAGCTCTATATACAAATTTAACATTCTGTTTGTAACTCATTTCATATGTATGTACTTTTACCTGAATAAACATTATTATTATTATTATTATTATTATTATTATTATTATTATTATTATTATTATTTATTATTATTATTATTATTATTTAAAAAATCCGCTGGCGAATCGTTTCGTGTACGATGTGACTTATATTCCACTCACTACGTACCCATAGTACGTACACAGAAAGCAAACTTAGTATATTTGTTAAGATTTTTTCAAGTTCATCATATTGAAATAAATACTTACAAATTTTTTAGGGTATTTGTGGTAGAATTATCTCTAAATTCAGTAATTTTTCACATTAAATTATATAGTTGTTGTTGTTGCGTAGTGACGTAAAATATGATGTCAGCCATAATTATATACAATGTGAGGGACACAAGTGGCCATGTACATAGGACGGTTTGCCAGTGGATTTTAAAACCTCTCTAACCTAAAGCAACCTAACTTAACCCAGAAGAGCCTAACCTAAACTAATATATCCTAACCAAACAGTGTACTGTATTCAGGACATGTATACAACTAGAAAAAGATCATCAGGGGCAAATGAGGGATCTTTGACAAGCTACCGGCTTCCTGGCCTCGTCGAGGCCACTAGTATTAGCAACCCTCAGGTAAATTCAGGTAAATACGGCTTTGATCATCAGAAAACGAGCTTTGTCGAACCAATTTATGTACGAGTTGCTCATATGCCGGATTGTGTTCGTCTTGCAGCCAACAGATGGCACCACCAGTGGTTGTTGTGATGACGTCTTAGTGCGCCATTTGCTTGGACTCACATATATATGCCCCTATAACCCTTTCCACTACCGCCCACAAGGTGGGTATTGAGTGTATAATAAATGAACTAAACTAATTCACATAGGTATTGTCTAGCATGATGACACAGATAAGTTAGTTTAGTTTAGATAAGTTATAACAGTCTCCGTGGTGTAGTGGTAAGACACTCGCCTGGCGTTCCGCGAGCGCTATGTCATGGGTTCGTATCCTGGCCGGGGAGGATTTACTGGGCGCAATTCCTTAACTGTAGCCTCTGTTTAACGCAACAGTAAAATGTGTACTTAGATGAAAAAACGATTCTTCGCGGCAGGGGATCGTATTCCAGGGACCATAGGATTAAGGACTTGCCCGAAACGCTACGCGTACTAGTGGCTGTACAAGAATGTAACAACTCTTGTATATATCTCAAAAAAAAAAAAAAAAAAGTTCATTTATTATGCACCCCATACCTTCTTGGCGGTAGTGGAAAGGGTTACAGGGGCACATAATGGGCTCAGGGACTGAACCCCACAGTTCTTTTAGCTAAGCAAGTTACAATCTTGATGAGCTAGTTACAAAATTCAGTATAAGTCGTCACATCATAAATGGGTTCGATATCGACCACAAGTACAGTTTCTAAATTATGCAACTGACATATGTGGAGAGCTAGTGTCACAATGGGTCCATAGAATTACCCAAATCGGCCCAAAACTACACAAATCGTCCTAGCATTACGTAAGTAATGAAGAAATATGGTATATTTACTTACTATAATGTTGGTGCTACACGTAGAACATGATCAAACCTATTTTTACTCTGAAATAATCTAATTTCATAACGAAATGAGACGTAAATATGTGAGAGGTGATGCCATAGGAAGTCGACGGTCCAAGCGACAATTGTGTGGAGCGACTTATCCAAGATATATGGTCGCCTGGAGAGTGTTTGCTGCCATAACAGCCTCCTGTACACAGTGATCCAGTCGTCGTATTTCATGGCTCAAATTGTCGCAAATTTAATTGGTAATATTAACAAATAGAATGTGTATTTATAATAATATTTTTCATAAACAGCCACAAAATATTTAATATTTATTAAAAAAAGTGTCTGGAAGTTAAATCAATTCCACATGACAATAAATTTGTTATATAGATACTAGCGTTATTCGTTGGTATGCGTTCGCAATTTAAACTACTCATGTCCTTTTCGTTCATAGAACACCGAACCCTACACGCTTGTAGCGAGTAGATTATCCCAATAATATACTCGCTCCAAATGCATTGTTAATATTCCTGTCAACCTTTGGAGATGAATGAGGTGAGGCGTTGCTCGGGCAACACGGTGAGGTGTTGCCCGAGCATATAAGCAGCAGAATAGCAAACATTAACTAAGACGCAGGGTGCAGTCGCGCCTCCACAGATCTCCAGTTTCAGCTCTTGATACTGGTAATGGCTCAAAAGAGCCACCACTTACGGGCTATTCATGCCCGTGCCACGTTTTGGGTGGCTTAATCTTCATCATCCTCATCACACCATTTGGTCACCATTTGGTCCGGGAGATATCTTCCGTCACGCAGGGTGCAGTTGCGCCTCCACAGATCTCCAGTATCATCTTTTGATACTGGTAATGGCTCGAAAGGGCCACCACTTACGGGCTATTCATGCCCGTGCCACCTCTTGGGTGGCTTAATCTTCATCAATCAATCAATCAAACATTAACTAGTCTACTTTCAAGTGTGGTCTAGAGCAGACACTTGCGAGATACTGTACCGACGCTCAGTGCGCTCAACTCACACCAAAGTATCACCTGTGTACTTCTGTATATTCGACCAAATATATATATCCTTATCTATCCATATCTCAACTATGGTATTTGTGCTTGGGGTTCTACTACCCAAAATCACTTACGTCCTCTAATTACCCAACACAAAGCTGCTATTAGAACAATATCCAACTCTGGCCCCAGACATCACTCGGTACCCCTACTCAAATCTCTGAATATGTTAGACATTAAGTCACTGCACATTCTCTCATGTGTATTATACATATATAAAACGCTAAACTATAATGCCAATCCTGATCTCAAAAGCTTCATTGAAGGTTGTAACAGAACCCATGAACACCACACCAGAAATAAATACAGTTTTGATATTCCTAGAGTACGACTTAATCAAACTAGAAATGCTCTACAAATCAAGGGACCCAGAATGTGGAATGACCTTCCCAACCATGTTAAAGACTGTACCTCTCTCAACCAGTTTAAGATAAAAACTAAACACTACCTAATAAATTCCCTGTAACCTACCTCACTCCTCTATTGTCAACCCATGTCTGTAATTTTTTTTTGTTTAATCAACACTGTTTGTCAACCTATTGTATTTGTCTTTAGGCATTGTATGTACTAGCTCTATCTATATATCAATCCATTAATGTAACATCACTTGTATGTATATACCTTACCTGAATAAACATATTTATTTATTTATTTAATAGCAAACATTAACTAGTCTACTTTCAAGTGTGGTCTAGAGCAGACACTTGCGAGATACTGTACCGACGCTCAGTGCGCTCAACTCACACCAAAGTATCACCTGTGTACTTCTGTATATTCGACCAAATATTATATAGTATCTTAGTGTCTGTGTTTATTTGTCACCATACTTTACGTAACAATAGAACCGTTACAAGCCCTTTGATCCTGGCCGGGAAGGACTGAGCGGACGACACCTTAACTGTTCACCCGCAGAGAATAGGTTGTTAAACGATTTGGCGGGTCATACTCCGGGATAAACATTAGGATTAAGGACCTACTATGCTTTAGTGGCTTTACAAGAATTTAAAAATACTTTACAAGAATTTAAAAACTCTTTTTTATATATAAAAAAAAAAAATCCGCTGACGAATCTTCTTGTGTGCGATGAGACTTAATTGTATCTGGCATAATTAAAATATTAACTTAAATAATTCGTTTGTTAGACAATATATGATATTCAGATCTATAAATTACTTTAGAAAGGCCTGTAATGCATATATAAATATTAATTTACACACTCCTTACACTATATACGGTAGGAATTTCAATATGGCGTTCAAATAATTTTAGGCAGAGGGTCTCTGTGTCGGTTGGTCGCTTACGGGTCATCGACCGGCTACGACCCCGCCAGTCGTCAGGAAGCAGCGGCGGCGTGAGTATGTCGCTCCCGTGTGGTAAGGCTGATAATTTTTTTTTTTTTTTTTTTTTTTTTTTATAACTATCTGAGCAGTTGGGAGGTAGGCTTGAATATATAATAAACTATACAATACTTAAAACATTAGCAGTTGGGAGGTACGCATGAATATATAGTCTACCTCCACCTACAATACTTAATACATTATAGCATTATACATTTGTTCGCTATTATAGCATTGAGTTTTTGTATTGTTTAAGAGGATCATTTGTTTCCGTATTTTTTTTTAATCCGGGTTCTGTAGTGTTCAAATGTTTGTATTCCACTAATGCTAAATAGTCTGTGCTCTCAGATATTGTGAAAAATTTTGAGGATCATGATTTGCCAACATTATATGGGTAGGATATTATATAGAATACACTTAACCAGTGTTAAACCACCCCCGTAGTCAGGCTTCGGCTCGTTAACGCGGCGGTCGACTCCTCACCTCCCACCTCCCAAGACGCATTTATCATCGACTTTCATGTACTGTATTAAAAATAGTTTTCATGGTGTATAAATTAATTTTATATTCTATGTTTAATTAGGCGTATAGTAGGTTCGGTATTTAGGTTCTGTTGGCAATTATTTGCACTTGAAGTATGTGAAGGGTGAAGCATTTACAGTTGCCTGTCCTCAGGCCAGGCTCGCCTACGCGGCCGCCCAACCCAAAACCGCATTCGTCAATTTTTTCTTCAATTGTCTTATCCACTACACTGAGACTGGTTTATTCAGAATTATTCTCGCGTATAAGATAATATTATTTCATCAAGTTAATAGTTTAAAAACGAAGTTCAATGACTAAGCGGCAGTCCTGTGTACAAATACTGTAATGATTAACTTCCCAACGGGAATTAAGAAGCGGGGACACCCCTCCAGGAACTGAATTTATCTGAGGGCCACTAACACTAGTGGCCACGATGAGGACAGTAAGCCGGCGGCTTGTCAAAGGTCCCCCCATTTGCCCTGATGATCTTTTCCAGCTGTATTTTAAAACCCAACTGAATTTTGGCGTTTACGGCTTCGGCGGGTAGGCGGTTCCACGGGTTTACAACCCTATGGGTAAAAAAGCATCTCCTGTTTCTTATCCAACATTCTGGCTTGTTTAGTTTGAACCCGTTGCTCCTTGTTCGTGTAATATCTGACCTTTTGAAGACATTGTCCTGATCGACATCTTCCAAATTGTTTAGTATTTTAATGGTTTCTATGAAGTCCGCTTTGTCATGCCTGGTTTGCAGTGTGTTAGCCCTGTGGCCCTCAACCGTTCCTGATACGAGAGATGACTAAGCTCTGGTATGATTTTTGTCGTAAGACATAGCTCCATAGCTCTGGTACGACATGGCTCCAGAGCAGCTATGTCTTTCTGAAGATGAGGTCTCCATGCCTGGATGCAATAATTCATGTGGGGGCGCACCAGAAACTTATACAACTGAAGGTCTACTTTCTTTTCCTTTAAAGGTAAAGGTACGCATGATTATTCCCAGGGTTTGGTTTGCTTTTTTACTGCCGCTCTCACTTGTTGTACACCAATCAGTGATTGGTGTATTCTGACTCCAAGATAATGTTGATAATTTGGTAGTTGTGTTGTGTACTGTTATGCCTCACGTGATGGATTCTGACTCCAAGGTCCTTTTCTTCATCTATCTGTTGATAGTGCTGTCAATTTGGTAGTTGTGACGTGGATTGTTATGCCCCACATGCAGAGGTCTTGCATTTATCGACATTAAAAAGTCATCCGACCATTTGTGGAGTTTATGTAGATCTCTTTGTAACGTCTCAATATGACTTTCACTTCCCACTTTACCATAGATCTTGGTGTCATCTGCAAATTTGATGTGGTTTGTAATATTCTCATGTCATTGATGTATATGACAAAAAGGGTTGGCCCCAAAATGGACTCCTGTGGCACCCCACTTAGCACATTGGTGGGGGTTGGATGAGATATTTGCTTGCTAGGCTTGCGATTACACAACTGGTCGGCTCCGGGGGTGTGACTTAACTGGGCTTCTAGTTGTTCATGGTCGGGCTCCGGTTCATGCATCGGGTTGTGCACCAATTCGGTCGTGTGTGGTAGTGCTCCAGGTTTGTTTGCTAGGGCTCTATACTTATATGTTTGCTAGAAATCCGGGTTTCTTTCTTCGTACATAGCTCAATTTTTCTGTTTGCTATGGCTCCATAGTTGGTTTCTAGGGCAAGTGGAAGGTTTTAGGTAGGGCTAAGGAGACTTTTGTTTGGTCGAGCTAGGAATGGAGTTTGGTTGGGCTCTGGGGCTGTTTAGCTTGGTGGGGGTTGGATGAGATGTATACTTGCTAGGCTTTTGATTAGACAACTGGTTACACAACTGGTCGGGGTCCGGTTACACAACTGGTCGGGGTCCGGTTACACAACTGGTCGGGCTCCGGTTACACAACTGGTCGGGCTCCGGTTACACAACTGGTCGGGCTCCGGTTACACAACTGGTCGGGCTCCGGTTAGATCACTGGTCGGGCTCCGGTTAGTGCATGGTCGGGCTCCGGTTCGTGCATGGTTG